TGACCGAATAAAACACGATCGCCACAAGGATTTGATGGGGATCTTCATGTTTCGTGATCAAAACTTTACAAGTGAAGATCGACGGATATGTTCAATGCCGCGTGATGACAGGATATCACGATGTGTCGATCCTAAAATTATTACGACACTGTTCAAACGATAAATGGACAATCTCTCTAAAATGTTACGAATCTCGATACGCTGGGGACGGATAAACCCAATTCAAAATTTAATAGCCCAGGAGGTGATGACCGAAACTGGCCTACAAGGAGTTTCGAGTAGTGTATTAATAGTGTAACAGGCAATAACACTTCAGCCAAAGATGCTGAGGTGGCAGCAGTTCAACGCAATGTAACATGTAATAACACTTCATCCAAAGATGCTAAGGTGGCAGCAGTGCAACCCAATGTAACTGGTAATAACACTTCGGCCAAAGATGCTAAGGTGGCAGCAATGCAACGCAATGTAACAGGTAATGACACTTCGGCCAAAGATGCTAAGGTGGCAGTAGTGCAATTCAAAGTAACAGGTAATAACACTTCGACCAAAGATGCTAAGGTGGCAGCAGTGCAATTCAAACTAACAGGTAATAACGCTTCAGCCAAAGATGCTAAGGTGGCAGCAGTGCAACGCAATGTAACAGGTAATAACACTTTGGCCAAAGATGGCAAGGTGGCAGCCAATCAACTCAATGTAATAGGTAATAACACTTCAGCCAAAGATGCTAAGGTGCAGCAGTGCAACGCAATGTAACAGGTAATAACACTTCGGTCAAAATGCTAAGGTGGCAGCAGTGCAATTCAAGGCAACAGGTAATAACAATTCGGCTAAATAATCTAAGGTGGCAGCAGTTCAACGCAATGTAACAGGTAATAACACTTCGGTCAAAATGCTAAGGTGGCAGCAGTGTAATTCAAGGTAACAGGTAATAACAATTCGGCTAAATTTAACGAAGATGTGGTTTAGTGCCCTTCTGACATGTTGCGTCATTTTTTTTGTAATAACTCATTCATTTTAACAAAGCATTACACATTTTCTACCATGCTACAACCTTCCACGCTGACTATGTCACTTTCAAAGTTTCAATCAAGTGGGTTGGCACTTCATTTATAATTTGAGTATTTCAGAAAAAAACGTTAATGATTGATAACAGAAGGTCGTAATGCAACGTATTTATTAAAATAGTCAATGTTTCTTCCAACAATGCAAAAAGAAAGACCTATTTTCGTTTTTGTATTTGGAATTTGAACAATCAATGATTTATCCATTGATTTAATGTCTTCTATTAATAAATGGCACAGCTCTTCACGCCGGCAGGCTCCAAATCATAGAATACAGCATTCCGCAATGTCAAGCGTATTTCAGAGCAAACTATATCCCCGGGACTTCAGAAATTGCGAGGGTATTTTGGTAAGTTTTCGACGATCTGATCATTATTAACGAAAATACAACTCAGTGCTCTCTTGTCTTGGCACATCTTTGTTTCTTTTTTTTCGACGAGTTTTGCATTTCTTTCCCTTTCTTTTGACGTGCTGCACGTTAAGATCCAACTTTCATTAACGAAGATGTGGCTTAGTGCCCTTCTGACATGTTGCGCTATTTTTTTGTAATAATCCATTCATTTTAACAATTCATCACACATTCTCTAACACGCCACCACCTCCCACCCTGACTACGTCACTTTCAAAGTTTTAATGTTTCATCCCTGTTATTACATATTATTCGACCCTCATTCTCCATTTGGGACGCGTTATAGAACAGCCGTTTGTGAGAGTTGATATGAGCGTTTTTATGAAAATGGACCAAATCGAGTATCGAGCTGTCACTAAATATTACGGTTTGAACTGCTTGAGCATCCGCCCTACTCACCAGATCTCATCCCAAGCGACTTCTTTTCGTTTCCTCATCTAAAAATTGTGCTTGAACAACAGTGATTTGTTAGTTTGAGAACTTTCCAGACAAACCTCGTATATCCCAGGGAAAGAGGTCTCCAACTTTTTCATTAGAAGCAAAGAAAAAAAAACCCTATCCAATAATATTTTCCCCAATAAATCTGCCCGTATTTTCTTTCAATTTGAAAAGGAAATCGTCACAAGAGGTGTACTTCTCTCATTTGGATTAAGTAGTACTCCTGTTACCTTCCACAGGCTGATGGAACTTAAGTTGATTGGGATGAGGTGGAGGATATTTTGGGATGATGAGGAAGGTATTCAACAGTTTTTGAGAAAGAAACGCTTTTACTTTCCACGCAGTTTTGATCTGAGTTTCTCGCTGTCAAAACTTAGCTATTGAACTTATTATCCTGCCGACTGCGCCAATTTCGACTTTTGGACTACTTGACGAGTTGATTTTGTGCTGATGAGCGTTCCAAACACGGATCATCAAATTCATACAAAGGACCCGAACCAGCAGAATTACAGGGTTACCAACTGGACGCTGCCCATTGAGAGGACACATGAACAAAACAGGGCTGTATAACGGATACCTTGAGTGCAAGCAGAGACAGCTTGAAGTGAGAGTTTTTGATTTTTTGGGCCTATAACTGTCATTTTTCAACTTTAAGAATGGTATTTCTTTGAAATATTCAGTTATATTAACACCATTTTCAACGAGCGCAATTTCATTATGAATTCCAATTTTCTTATTATTCTGAATTATCTGTTCGTCGTCATATATGTAGTTGGTGAAAGGATTTTACTTTTCGTATTACAAAACCATCCCATTGTCCATATTCATGATTCTTCATCATTTCCAATCAGTGCCGCTAATTGAAAGACATATTGAAGGGAAGTTTTCCATTGTCGGCAAATAAAGTGTTTTAAGTTCATAGTAACGAAGAATGTATTGGGTATTCCTATCTATGTCGGTGCATCAAATGAAGTCATCAAATAGCTATAATTCAAAGTATTTTATTTCAAACGACAGCGAGAACTCTTAGATCTTCCTTTCATTTTTACGAGTATGACTGAAATGTTCATAGGTATCTGTTGTACTGTTTGAAACTCAGCTTATGTAAAATCCACCAATTTTGCGTTTCCTCGAACACGAAAGTCAAATGATTGGTCCAGCATGTTGGAATTTTTTTTTCTTTCTATACAGCGTGTTCGTAAAGTAAATCACTAGGCTCTTTCTCTTGTTTACTAAATTTCATAGTTTCAGAGTTGATATTTTTTTCAAAATGCTACCATATTGATGAAATCGATCATATTGTACATTGGAAGAAAATTCTGTTCCAATTAAGCTTTCTGTAATAGGTGGATCGGTATACCTGTTAAACTTGAGTGACCTGCTCGTTTTCCAAATTTTATCCCACCTAACTTCTTTTTTATTATCAGGAAATTGAAATCTATTACAACAGAGCAAATATTCAAATGTCTGCTAATAATGAACTTGTGTAAAGATTGGACTAAATACCTTTGCATTCTTCTAGTCTTCCACTGTTTTGAATAAGAACCATAGAACTGAGGCGAAATAAAAATCTAAATACAAACAATAGTTCTGGATTTCTAAGTTAAACTAGACTTTGTAACCAAGTGTGCACATTTTTTCGATAAAGAAAAGGATCAATCAACATCATTGCCAGTGGAATTATTCGAAAAAAAAATTAGACAGATGTATGAACACTTCAATCAGAAAATATTGTTCGAAAAATTATATTTCTGTCGGTCTGTCTGTGCGCATGTCCTAATAACTGCTCTATTTTTTGAAGAAATGAGGTATGACTTTGAAATATTGAAGAGAAATTGTGTTTATATTGGCAATGAAGCAAGAAAAGATGTTTTTCCGAAATTTTTTTATCGTTTACAATGAAAATTGTAGCATCAGTCTAGATAAAATTCCTACATTCTGCTGGTATGTTTATGTACAGCTCTCTCATATAGTACTGCTATAAAGAACTTGATATCATCAAGCAAATTGCAGTAAACAATGGATTTGAAGCCGAATGAATAAACAAAATACTTTCCGATAAACTCCACGCAAAAGTGATTCGAGACGTTTTTCCTATTGATAAGTTAGATAATCAAAATCAGAATTATAGAGTTTAAACGTATTTTCGATAAACAACGGAAACAGTGGCTTTATTTTTGAGGAAACGAGATTTAAGTGTGCTATTTGTTTCTTATATCTTACTTTAATAGATCTTTTTGTCTGTCCCTAATATTTTGCATCGCAGTCCTTAAATTCATTTTCGTAAATTCCAGACTTTTCCGAATTCTCGACTTTGTCTTTTGGACTTCCCAAAAGGTTCTGCAGTGCATGACTTGTTTTAAAAACCACCTTCATACCTAGTTCCTTGAAAATCTTTCAAAGTTCTTCGTATATTGGTTTGCACCATGTTCCACCAGAACATGTTCCTTCATACACAACATTTGACCTATGTTCTTCATTCACTAGTTATTCAGCTTCTGGTCACTTTGATTATCTTAATTTTTAATGTCATTTTTGTGTTCAGATTTTGGTGTTCTGATAGTGTGAAAGTCTCGCCTGAACATGTTTTTTCATACACAGTTTTTGACCTATGTTCTTCATTCCCAGTTGTTATAAAATGTTCTGGTCACTTTGATTATCTTAATTTTTGTGTTCAGATTTTGGTGTTCTGATAGTGTGAAAGTCTGGCCTGAACATGTTTTTTCATACACAGTTTTTAACCTATGTTCCTTATTTCCAGTTGTTATAAAATGTTCAGTTTACTTAGATTACCCTAATTTTATGTCGTTTTTGTGTTCAGATTTTGGTGTTCTAATAGTGTAGAAGTCTCACCAGAACATGTTTCATTATACACAATTTTTGACCTATGTTCTTCATTTCCACTTGTTATAAAATGTTCTGCTCACTTAGATTATCTCAGTTTTTATTGCCATTTTTGTGTTTTTCATGAAGATTTTTCCAACTGTATTTTCCTGATAACTATCATGATTCTCACTGACCCTTTGTTTGATTTGGTTCCTTAGCATAAAGTGTTGAATTTAGAATCAATTCTTCTTATCTTTTCATAAAGGAATTGGGTTGTTGTTGAAGATATTCTCATGTTGTAGTTGTTGTTCCTGGTTTTTGTTTGAAACAAAACAGTCACGCGCTCAAAAACCAATGAGGTTCAGACATGGAAAGCGTAGAGGCCATCACTACTCTTCCAGTAATATCATAACCAACTTTTTTTTCAGTCAATCATTGTACTCGCTCTCTTCGGCTTTGCGGCCTGTGGCCGCCTAGACTACCTCCCTCCAGCCAGAGGTGGCAGTGGAGGCGGCGCTGGAGGCCCATACCCTGGTGCGGGAGGCCCTAGCGGAGGTAGCGGATATCAAGGCGGCGCTGGAGGGGGATTCCCAAGTGGTGGAGGGGGTAGATTCCCAAGTGGCGGCGGTGCAGGAGGCGCCGGAGGTGCCGGGGGTTACCAAGGTGAGAAGTGGGTTGAATTAGAGTGGTAAAAGAAACTGAGAAGTGAATTCAACAGTGACATGTTCATATAGTCTGTTGCAAAAGAATATTATTGACTGTGTGTATCTTTCAAGAAAAATCTGTTTTTATGTTCTTTGCCGTAACACTAGATATGAAATATCGTTCTTCTTGGGTTCTACAAGAACAAACATTGCATTAAAATCGTCTGTCTTGATCTGTTGTAAAATTTTCAATGCAGTTTGACATTCCTGCCATATCAATTATACAGGGTGTAACTGAATAAGTGTAAAACATTCAAGGAGGTGATTCCTCATCGAAAAAAAAAGGATCTTTCATATAAAGAAACTTCATTGGAGCATCCCTTGTTAAGATACAGCCCCTTAAAGGGGGTACATAAAATTTGTATAACAATTTTTTTCACAAGCACTGAAAAAGTTACAATATTGAAATTAACCTGACGTTTTGTTTTGTGATATTTTGTCATTAAAATATAAAAAAACAGTTTAAAATTCGTCAAGTGTGTAGCAATTTTTTTCAATAAGTGCCTTTTTCAGTCTTGATTTGAAAATGTTAAGATTTGGTGATATTTTAATTGATTCTTCTAATTTATTAAACATTAACTGGTAATAACACTTCGGTCAATGATTCTAAGGTGGCAGCAGTGCAACACAGTGTAACAGGTAATAACACTTCAGCCAAAGATGCTAAGGTGGCAGCAATGCAATTCAAAGTAACAGGTAATAACACTCCGGCCAAAGATGCTAAGGTGACAGCAATGCAACGCAATGTAACAGGTAATAACACTTCAGCCAAAGATGCTAAGTTGGCAGCAGTGCAACGCATTGTAACAGGTAATAACACTTCGGTCTAAATGCTAAGGTGGCAGAAGTACAATTCAGGGTAACAGGTAATAACAATTCGGCTAAATAATCTAAGGTGGCAGCAGTTCAACGCAATGTAACAGGTAATAAAACTTCGGTCAAAATGCTAAGGTGGCAGCAGTGCAATTCAAGGTAACAGGTAATAACAATTCGGCTAAATAATCTAAGGTGGCAGCAGTGCAACGCAATGTAACTGGTAATAACACTTCGGTCAAAGATTCTAAGGTGGCAGCAGTGCAACACAGTGTAACAGGTAATAACGCTTCAGCCAAAGATGCTAAGTTGGCAGCAGTGCAATTCAAAGTAACAGGTAATAACACTCCGGCCAAAGATGCTAAGGTGGCAGCAATGCAACGCAATGTAACAGGTAATAACACTTCGGCCAAAGATGCTAAGGTGACAGCAGTGAAACGCAATGTAACATGTAATAACACTTCGGCCAATAACAACGCACCAACTAGAAAGGCGGACTATCTGTGTCAACATAAATACAGCTTACGTACTAGAAATCACGAGTCATCGGTGAACCATCAGGATGAATAGACCTCTGAAGAAGCCAGCCAGTTCCAAACTACGACGGCATTCAAACCCGAACGAAGATCGTAACAATGAAAATCTTGGCGGCAGCGAAATCCTTAATCAAGTCATCAGTGTGTTGATAAACCAAAAAGGGGCATCATATTGCTCCGGGAATGATAATAGTGATAATGGTAATGACTAGAACTCGATACAGTATAAGTGTAACCTCTTTGGACTGGATCGATATCTGCAAGGCATTTGGTAGACCGCATGAGCTCATCTTGCATTTGCTCATATGCCTCCCGATACCCGACAAAAAAGTGAGCTGCCTTGAACAACTGATACCACTGTGGTGGACCTGCTTCACCATAACATCTGGTTAGGCCATAATCCAGAAGGGGTGTATTTCAGGGCGATTCCCTCAGTTTCCTTCTCTTCTGTATCTCAGTTTTGCCATTATAAGTTGCGCTCAGAAATACTCGAGGGTATAACTGTGGCACCCCCAGAAACCGGAGGCACAAGGTCACCCATTTGTTTTATATAGTTGATCTTAAACTTTATGCCTCTGGAGAGAAGGATCTCCATCAGTCCTCGAAGGTGGTGGAAGAGTACACGCATGCTATCGGTATGAAATTCAGCATAGACAAAGGCGCAATGGTCCATCTCGAAAGAGGACGATGCGAGGACTAGGGAGAGGATGTGCAGCTCGTAGATGGAAGCATCCTACACCATTTGGATTCCGGAGAGACATATACTTACCGCGGGGTGAAACAACGCCACTCACAAGAGGTAACAGCAGTGAAGAACTTCCTCCGCGGCAAGTATCAGCACAAACTCTGACAGATTTAGTCATCGGAACTGTTGGGCAAAAAACAAAGTTACTACAATATTTATTTTACTTTACTCGTTTGAGTAGTGAAGTGAAGACCCGAAAAATGATGCACCTCCATAGAAGTTTGCTGTGGACTTTTGAGTTTGGAATGTCTACATGACAGAGTGGTACTGGACGGAGCCTGTAGAGTCACCAGAAGTCTGGATTTTCTTCTCTGCATGGTCAGTGACTAAGAAAGAGCATGATTTGGAACATTTTTTCTTAGGGCAGCTGCCCGAGCTGCTGCTGAGTTCGGTTTAGTTCTCGAAACTGAACGAGGTGATCAGAATTCTATCACAGAATATTATCTAAGCGTTATGCAGCGTTTGGGGAGCCAATTCTTCATAACAGGCCAGTTATGTGGGAAGAAACCTCATGGATTATGCACCACGATAACGCACTATCTAACATGAACGAATTTTTTCCAGAAAGTCAAAAATCCTTATTCAATAGCCACCGTATTTACCTGATATGGTTCCGGTCGATTTTTCTCTATCAAAAGCTCAAATTACCACTTCGAAGAAGCCGATGACATGAAAGAGACTTCGCAGCGAGTACAGGAGTCGATTCCAAAAGACGATTCAATGAATTATACATATCTTGCCTATCACTGACAATTTCCGACAAAGTAGAAGGTAGTTCGATTATAATTGTTATTGGTTTGGAAAAAACTAACAAGTCCATCATATGAATAGTGAGTTTTTTGCGCATGTTCGTGACTAAATGTAATGTGTTTAGCCACAGATATTGAAAACGAGGTCCGGGAATGAAGCCTTGTGCAGAACTGCAGATTTGAAGTGATCAAAGCTGACACACTGAGCTCGACGTTCTAAAACGCACATTATTCGACCCCAAAGTGATTTAGTTCATCACATAAAAGATTACGGTTTGAGGTATCAAAAGCTTTGCTGAAATCTCATAAAACCAGGCGTGCTTCATTATTTTCATCGGTCAATTTGGAAATGTCATCAGTTACAGAGAGAAAGTGATAGACCGGAATGGACTGACTTTATATTGGCTAACGGAAAATTATGGAAACACATGTCACAAAAAACGTTATGACTGTGCTAGACAAGGATCATCAGCTCTATTTATCAGCCCTCAAAAAGCTGTGGTGATCAGTTAATGGATTATTCTAATAACGATTTATCTTCTGCCCCAAACTAGTACCCAGTTTTAGCAAAAACCTCTCCATTCTAAAGAAATTTCTTACCGATGATCATTGTTTTGAGGTCTGCGAATTTTCAGTTGTCCATTCAGAAGCCAATTCTATACATTCCCGATTTTTCTCAAACTGAACTTTTATCTTTGTTATTTTTAAAGTGCATGCTTAAGTTGTTGTTGGTTTTGAAAGCAATATTTACACCAAAGCTATGCAGAAAATCTGAAATATTTTTAGTGGGTTCCCTGGATAGGTTAAGTTTCTATAACTTCTTATCCTCTTCCATCGCATTGGGCAAACTTCCCTCAAAGGTTGGCTGTATAACTTTTTTGATAGTAAAGAATGTATTAGACTGCTATCGTAATCATTGTTGACGACTATTTGTTTTATTATGTTCAGTTCTTTATTGAAATTCACCTCTGACGAGGGCACATATATCATGCGAATCATACTGTTGAACATTGCTACTTTGTGTTGATACGGGTGGGTGGAGGAATTATGAATGATAATATCTGTATGTGGCGTTTTGCGATAAATCGAAAATCATATTTTTTGTTAACTTTTGTCACTGTCAAGTCCAAAACATTTATAGATTCGTCCTTTTTCCATCTCCATTGTGAATGTGAGATAATTGATGAAATTCAAGAGCTTAGTCAATTGCCTGTTCGTTTTTGAAAAACCCTTTATAGCGAAAATCCTACAATAAACTATATTAGTTAGTCTCAATATGGATTTTCATCAAGTATCGGCCAACTGTATTCAATTAATCAAAAAGATATTCAAGCAAGCCACAAATATCGTCGCATTATCAAATCTATATTTTCATGACTAGCAGCTGACGCCTGTTTACATCTGCTTCAACTGATGGAAAACTAGCCTTGTCCACAATATATCTGCTCTTCGGAGTCCTTGTAATCCGCATAAAACCTTCGTCACAGCAAAATGATTACTCAAAAACCAACATTTATCAACTATTATCCCAAAAACTCTGCTACTACTTCAATCACCACCCCGTACCTTATCATTACCGTCGACATAATCGCGAAAAATTACACAAAAAATGTTTCCATCCAGGTCGGCCGTAATATCATCATCAAATTATTGGTACGATGTTTAATTTGCCTAATTCATGTTTGTAATATTTCCATTTTATGATTCGTAACGAATTGAACGGTTTCACCTGGTCTATGGAGTGTTGCAAAATTGCAGATACATGCGAATTTCGCATGGATTCTTATTTACATAACGTACTCTCGTTTCGTCTGTCTATTTGTTCATATTTTGTTGCATTATTGCGCTGAAGTAATTTTCTCATTTCTGAACGTCGGACGTACAAAAAAAATCTGGGTTCCATGAAGCAAAAACCTTTCATCGCTTTTCAAGTGCCCCAGTCGGATAATTATAAGTAATAAGACATAATCTACGATCGAATAAAAAAGATTATTAGTCGAAACAATCAATTAAAACATTAAACAAACTTAGTTCTAAATAAAATTATGGTTTGTTGAGTTTTGTTTCAAGTATTTCCGTATAATAATGTCAGAGAAAGCATTCCTTTATGGAGTCATCTGTCAAAATAGAAATCAAAAAAGGCAAATGTTATTTTTGCCTAAATGAATAGCGAAGAACATTTTTAATAACTAGCTTTCATTTACATGTACTGAAAAAATAAACTTTTGATTTAATCAAACCCTATATATAACATGTTTCATCTAGGATTAACCTATTTCATTGATAAACTTATTACTTTCTCCTTTGAACTACTCGTGTCAATTCAGGTTCAAGTTATCACCTGAAGACGATTGTGGATACTAACAATCGAAACGTTGTGAAATAACTTGGTTTGGACTTTTTAAATTTTATTTCTTGTTATTAATTTTCATCTCGTGTTGATAGTTCGATTTTTTTATCTTTGGTGTTTGCTTGTATTTTATTTCATTGTAATTTCAGTTTTCTTGCTTTATATAATTGTTATTTTTCAGCTGATCTTTTTTTCGTTAAGATTCTCATTCTTTTCCCACGTGATTAGAAAGAACGTCCCATCGCAGGTATTGCTCTCCAAAAGTGAATTACCGTTGCAAGATCTAAAATTTAGTCAACAACATAAAATCTGTTTGAATGTCTTTTGCAAAAAATCAGAGTTGCGACATTTCGCTTCACTTCCTCGATATTCTCGTGTTCACGTCTCCGCCGCCTTGTAATATCGATCTCTTGCACAGACAATATGTGGAGTAATTAGTACAGTTTGCCGACACGGCCTCGGGCAAGCAATCTACAATTTCTGCAATAAGTGCAACAGATTTAAGAGCTCATCTTCAATCCCCCGCCAGAAGGAGTTCATCTTATAAAAGCGATCCTCCGGATCAGTACTTCACACTTCAAGTGCATCTTACTCCAGCATGAAACGAGTAAGAACTTTTTTTACTATACTTTTTTTTGATACAGTGAAGTGACAGTGGTGTACAGGGTAGTTCAAAAAGTCAGTCGATAATTTTTAATTTTTTTTGACAGTGTTTGTGGCGGGGTTTTTGCTCGAAGAGGGTATTTTTGAGAGGTTCTACACAGAATTTTGACACATTTGATATTTTTTCCTTGAAATCACTCATCATTTCTTATCTATGCATCATAATCAACTGATTGTTTTTTGTTCAAACTTCATCGAGTACGATTTTGTTGACAGAACAAACCTTACATTTAATTTCTTGGATTTAGAACTGATTTTTCAAGTAACGATTAGTAGCTATACGATTAACAAACAAATTCAAAGGTTTTTTTTCAAGGACAAAACACAAGCAGTACAGGAAACTCTCTAAGGCGCTGTTAGAGCTGTGTCTATCATAATTATACTTGCTATCAAATGGATTTACGAAAAATATGTATGATTCTTGTCCTGTGGAGGATATCAGTAAGTTTCTTAATAGTTTCAGCACATAAAAGTTCTTCTCAAACAATTTTACAAATAATTTTTCACTCGTTTTTAAATTAGGTTCCACAGATGGACATTATATGAATTTTTACTTTCCAGAAATTCATACAAGTTATTGAAAACGAGAGAGTGACTTATTGAAACTAGGTGTGAATAAAATTCATTTAAAATGTGGAATTTGGTTATATATTTCAAAACAATTATTATAAATTTGGAATGAAAATACACCCTCTTCAAAATAACTTTCAACAACCACCTCTGTTTCACTTTGAAAACTTTAAAGTTACGGCGAGATATTTGAAAATGATTATTTGATAGCTTTCTGAATTGAATAACAGATTCGTTCCACAATAAATTGAATTTTACTTGGTGTAACACTCCAGCATTTCTATTTTCCCCAACGGAGGTACTCATGTTCAATCTCACTTAATATATTAGTGGGTTCTTTCATTTTTTGGTGTTGTTCAATTTGATCATTGAAATTTAATCATATGTGCACCATGTCCCACCAGAACATGTTCCTTCATACACAACATTTGACCTATGTTCTTCATTCACTAGTTGTTCAGCTTACTTAGATTATGTTAGTTTTCATGTCATTTTTGTGTACAGACATTGTTATTGCAATAGTGTGAGAGTCTCACCAGAACATGTTTTATCAAACACCATTTTTGACCTATGTTCTTCATTCCCAGTTGTTATAAAATGTTCTGGTCACTTTGCTTATCTTAATTTTTAATGTCATTTTTGTGTTCAGATTTTGGTGTTCTGATAGTGTGAAAGTCTCGCCTCAATATGTTTTTTCATACACAGTTTTTGACCTATGTTCCTCATTTCTAGTTGTTATAAAATGTTCAGTTTACTTAGATTATCCTAATTTTATGTCGATTTTTTGTTCAGATTTTGGTGTTCTAATAGTGTAGAAGTCTCACCAGAACATGTTTAATCATACACATTTTTTGACCTATGTTCTTCATTTCCACTTGTTATAAAATGCTCACTTAGATTGTCTCAGTTTTTATTGCCATTTTTGTGTTCAGATTTTGGTGTTCTGATAGTGTAAAAGTTTCGCCAGAACATGTTTTTTCATACACATTTTTTGACCTATGTTCTTCATTCCCAGTCATAAAATGTTCTCACTTGAATTATCTTAATTTTTATGCCATTTCAGTGTTCTGATAGTGTAGAAATCTCACCAGAACATGATTCATCATACATATTTTCTGACTATGTTCTTCATTCCTAGTTATTATAAAGTGTTCGGAACACAAAATAAAAAATAAATAAGGAAATGAAATAAAAAATTCGTTTTTTCTTATAGACACTTATGAAGATTTCTCCAACTGTATTTTTCTGATAACTATCATGATTCTCATTGACCCTTTATTTGATTTGATCCCTTAGCATAAAGTGTTGAATTTAGAATCAATTCTTCTTATCTTTTCATAAAGGGCATGAATGCAAGATGAAAGAATTAGGTTGTTGTTGGAGATATGTTCATGTTGTAGTTGTTGTTCCTGGTTTTTGTTTGAAATAAAACAGTCAAGCACTCCATAAAGCAATGAGGTTCAGACATGGAAAGCGTAGAGGCCATCACTACTCTTCCAGTAATATCATAACCAACTTTTTTTTCAGTCAATCATTGTAATCGCTCTCTTCGGCTTTGCGGCCTGTGGCCGCCTAGACTACCTCCCTCCAGCTAGAGGTGGCAGTGGAGGCGGTGCTGGAGGCCCATACCCTGGTGCGGGAGGCCCTAGCGGAGGTGGCGGATATCAAGGCGGCGCTGGAGGGGGATTCCCAAGTGCTGGAGGGGGTAGATTCCCAAGTGGCGGCGGTGCTGGAGGTGCCGGAGGTGCCGGGGGTTATCAAGGTGAGAAGTGGGTTGAATTAGATGGGGAAAAGAAACTGAGAAGTAAATTCAACAGTGACATGTTCATATAGTCTGTTGCAAAAGAATATTATTGACTGTGTGTATCTTTCAACAAAAATCTGTTTTTATGTTCTTTGCCGTAACACTAGATATGAAATATCGTTCTTCTTGGGTTCTACTAGAACAAACATTGCATTAAAATCGTCTGTCTTGATCTGTTGTAAAATTTTCAATGCAGTTTGACATTCCTGCGATATCAATTATACAGGGTGTAACTGAATAAGTGTAAAACATTCAAGGAGGTGATTCCTCATCGAAAAAAAAGGATATTTCATATAAAGAAACTTCATTGGAGCATCCCTTGTTAAGATACAGCCCCTTAAAGGGGGTACATAACATTTGTATAACAATTTTTTTCACAAGCACTGAAAAAGTTACAATATTGAAATTAACCTGACGTTTTGTATTACCAAAAGGACACTTAGTAATTTATTTGGTTTGCCTAATGTCAAATAGAGAAATCGAGAGGACTGAGATCCAGGGATCGAGCGGGCCAGTTCTGTGGCCCTGATCACTTGGGTCTGATCTGTTATTGAATGATATTTCATGCTGACTTTAAGATTATTCAACAGTCTCAAGTCAAGAACTTTGATTCCACTGAAAAGATTTCCAGATGGATATCTATCTATATCTCAAGAACCTTTTCTAGATAACTTATAATGGTTTGAAATGAGTTTTAACAAGCCAGTTAAATGTACAACATTACAACAGTAGTTGAATGTATGCTTGAAGTTGGTAAAGTCAGATCGTTTCCATTGTGACTCATGCTAATTATTCATCTATTTTATTTATTGACTCTTTTTCTTTCATGTTTTAATTTGAATGTGCTTGTTTTACGATGTGTGTCATGTCGATTTCTATTCAAATTGGCATATATCGGAGAAATATAACCTGTTCCATATACATAATGTAACACAAATGACTAATGAATCTATCTGTGAACCAGTTGGAAATAAAATCATTATCATTATTGACATCCCGATCAAGTTCAACAAAAGACTGCAAGAAGATTTTTTCCACTTAGTGCATTTAATTCTTCAAATTTGTTACTATATACACAACGTAAACTCAGTTCTTACATAAATCAACAATTTCGGCATCCTTCTAGATTAACTAGTGAAAGTACGGAAAATCCAATCGCAAATGCCCTGAGCACTTCTAACAGTAATTTTGTTTAATTATCATTTAAGGCGGAGGAGCCGGGGGTTACAGCGGCGGCGCAGGAGGAAGTTTTGGCCCCGGAGGAGCAGGAAGACCCGGAGCCGGTTCTGAAATTCCAATCATCCGGTATGAAAACAACAACAACGGAGACGGAACTTACAGCTGGCTGTACGAAACCGGAAATGGTATAAACGCCCAAGAACAGGGTGATGGTCGAGGAGATGGTACACAAGCACAAGGTGAGAATAATGATGATAATAATATTCTTCATTAATTTTTTTTCGAAATAGTATATTTCCCTTATTATATCTCTGAAATGCTGACGATTTCAAAATTTTCAGCACAGTAGACATTTAGTCTGACTATTTACATTCACAAAGTGACATTGATTCAATTTTTCAGTGGTGTCATGATAATCATCTCCAATCGAATATTTTCAAATGTTCCGTCTCTTTATAATGTTAGAAGTAAAAGACGATTAACTTGACTGTTATATGATCAAAATCCAATATCAAGAGATGTAGAGAGATCAATGACTTGGTCATCAATGTTGATCATCAACTGACTTTTATGTTGTATCCAGTCTCAAAGTGGACCTAGTTATGTTGAGGGTTTCAAATGTAGATATCATCTATTGGAAATAGAGGATATTCTCAATTCTTCGTTTTCCACATTAGTTGTTTTGAAAATGGTTTGAAAAAGTCTAAGGAGAGGCCACAGTTTGGTCCTAGAATATTTGTAATGTAGATATCACGCATCAAACGTAGGATATATTCTCAATCTTCGTTTTTCAAACCATTCACCATTCACACATTCACTTTTTTCATACCAAACGGTATTTTCACCTATTTCTTTCATCAACACTTGAGAACCAGTTTATTTTTGGTGTGTTTCAGTAAAAACAAGTGATCCTCTCTTTGTGTGAGTTTCGAAATAATCGTCAAGGTTTCCATTTCTTTGTCAAATGTATCCATTGCCGTACAAGGTCGAAAACGGTTGTGATACTACCAAAAAGTCGATTTCAGAACGTATAATAGTAATTATGTTCGCATTCAACATATGATGAGTATAATTCTTTGGAAAAAATATCCTAGAGATGAATCTTCAAATTAATTTCAACAACTCTACTATTCTTCCTATCTGCATCATCCATTATTTCTCCAATATCTTGCATATTGTATACTAACACGCTCGCATGCGGTATTGATGTCCAATGCAAACACACCCGTTAACAAACACTTTCATTTCCACTCACAGATCGATCCATAATTCAAATAATGATAGTCAAGGTTGCAGCGGTCTATTGTTTTCAGTAATTCATATTTGGAAACAGTTCCGACCCAACAAAGACATAGTTGGAATCGGTCATTTGCTTTATTCGTCTTCAATTAAGAAGGAATCTTAAAGGTCGTATACAGTGTGTTTCTAGAGATGAGAAAGCAAAACAGGTAGGAGGTCTTGTTATGATGACAGTTTTGTACCTGTCAGTTTGGTAACTGTATTCGCCATTTTAAGTTCTCAATTTCTGTACGCTTTCCTTACTGGTAAATTATTTTCTCTCTGTTTCGTCTTCCGTCACAATATGCTTTATTTCCTTCTGGAGGCATTCATATGGCATCTGTAGCTTGCTCTATTGTTTTTAATCTTTACAGTATCCAGAGAAAAATACCTGTACCATTCTGTAATAGNAATTTCCTTATTAGTTTGACATAATATCGAGAAAAACTTCGATATTTGCAATTTCCGAATGTACTTCTCTTCATTTTTATACTAATCGATGGAAGCCTTCTTATCCAAGACATTTTAATGAAGTCAACTTTGCATTTGGTGCTTTGACTATTATCCCCTCAAATTAGAAAGCCACTAGTCTGGTTCAATTCAATCATTGAATTCCCGTTCTTTTGAGCTTGAAGAAATCGACACTGGCACATTTGCTCAATCCGGAATTATTGCCCTCCTTCATCACCCTTTTGAACAATACTAACTCTTCAACTCCTCTTCTAGGCTCCTTCAGCTACACCGCCCCAGATGGCCAACAGATCGCAATCAGCTACACAGCTGACCAGAATGGTTTCGTTCCTCAAGGTTCTCACCTCCCAACTCCACCACCGATTCCAGAAGAAATCCAGAGAGCAATCGACCAGAACCTGGCTGATGAGGCTAGAGGAATCGTAGATGATGGCCAATACAAACCTGGTCCAGATGAGGGAGCTCAAGGAGGCTACGGAAGAGGACCAGCAGGTAGCGCTGGAGGACCAGGTTTTGGAGGACAGGGAGGTGCAGGTTTTGGAGGAGGCCAGGGAGGTGCAGGTTTTGGAGGAGGCCAGGGAGGTGCAGGTTTCGGCAGAGGACCAGGTTTTGGGGGACAAGGAGGTAGAGGTGGCGCACCTGGAACTCAGTATGGAGTTCCTGGAACTGGCCAAGCTAAAGGGCCTGATGGGTATAGGTACTAAATATCACGATAGCTTGCCATACGTATAAGAATGTAAAATAATGCTGTAAATAGATGTGTTCTTATCTTAGGTGGAATAAAACTTGTATTTTTGTATATTGGATTCGTTTCATTTTTCTGGGTGGTTGTGGGATATTCTGTTTGATGATTTGTACTTTTCAAATAATCAGCCCTACATTTTTATTTTCGCCTTGAATATGGCCAATTGGAACAACGTTCGAAAACAAAGGTACCTTCCTTTCTCTCCGAAGTCTTCAAGTCGTAAACTAGTGTTCTGTTGACAAAGGTAGAACTGGAACATCGATAATGTAATCAGGGTCATAGCTTTGAGCAACAGGTATTCATCTAGTATTGTGAATAAGTTGATAAGCAAACGTAAATTTAGGATCTTCATAAATATTGACTTTTGAGAAAGACAAAAATTTAAAGTTC